TGCGCTCGTGGCGATCGAGACGTTTCGATATTGACTTGATTTTTTTCACGTACGCGACGATCTCGATTAAAAGCGTACGCTTTGCCGACCTGGCGCTACCGTTTCGCCGAAAGATAAGCCAGGGTGCAATAATTCAGCTTGCTCGATGTTAAAGATGAAAACGGCGAGTCAAGGATGGATTTTTCGCCGCTGTAGCATTTTATTTCGGAGCTTTGCTCTTAAGATATTTAAATTGCGAAGCTAGGTTTATATTTCTAAGACAGAACGAAACCAAATTTTCATGAAAGAGTCATGCGCACGTCCTTCTGAAAGAGTTTTGGGTTTCTAGAGCCACTGCTCGTCCTTAATTCTAAGTTTGTTAAAGAAAGAACAACTGCAAAGAGAACGGAAACGTCAATGTAACATAACGATCCGACGTGATAAATGGTTTTTTTATCGGTACTTTCTTAGAAAACGAGAAGAGAAAGTTAGTACATTTTGTACAACTGTAGCTTTTTCTTAATAAATTTATCTCTTGCCAGTTTGGTCGACTATAAGTTTGCGACTTACTCTTATTCATTACCGGCGATAACAAGCACCGCTACAGAGAAGAGAAATATTTTTAATTAGACCGTAATCGAGAATTTACAATAAATATTGACTGAAAATCATCGTTATTTGATATTTGTGTTACGGCTCTGTTTTACTTGCACTATGTACATTCTATTTCAAATAATTCGACAAATTGTGTATAATATTAACCGCGGTTGGAATCGACTTAAACGCTCGTTCGCCGAAGCTCCGAAGCGAACTTTCGTTCTTGCGAAAATGTCGGAGCGCGCTCGCCGCTAAACGAGACGAATGCATTTCGCCGCATAATACGCGAGTGCAATATTTAAGAACGGTGCGATCGTACGGACGTTCCGCGCGCGGATTAATCGAGTAACTCGATCTACGACGCATTAATCTTGAACTGAAGCGGTATCGACCGATCGACGCCGGTGGGGACCGAAATAACGAGCCGATATAATTTCAAGTGTAATTTCATCCTCCACTGAGCGCGATGCGATGCGATGCGATGCGATGCGCGCGCGAATTAACAGGATCGATTGTAATGCCCCGTTGTTATGACTAACTCGCGCGAATTACGCACACTTAAACGCTCGCGTTGAGTCGATTTTCCGTCCGACCCTTCGGCACTTGGTCCGCAAAACTTTTTCACCGCGCTACTTAGGCACGGTTTCGCCAAACATCGCTTAACTTTAACCTTTGTTTAATTCATGTGTGATTTTAGACTAACAGTTGGAAAGAGACAAAGAACGAATTAGGCTACGCTTAAAGTTAAGCGACGTTGGTGAAACCAGGTCTTGCGCCCGATTTCACCAAACTTTAATCTTAGCTTAATTTATGTCTGTCTCTTTCTGGATTAACAGTTGGACAGAGACAAAGAACGAATTAGGCTAAGCTTAAAGTTAAACGACGTTGGTGAAATCGGGCCCAAGGCCTCTTATTGTTAGTGTAATTATGTTTCTTTCTTTCTGGAGTAACAGTTGGAAAGAGACAAAGAACGAATTAGGCTAAGCTTAAAGTTAAGCGGCGTTGGTGAAACCGGGCCTTAGGCCCAATTTCACAAAGCTTTAATCTTAGTTTAATTCATGTCTGTCTCTTTCTGGAGTAACAGTTGGCAGGAGACAAAGAACGAATTAAACTATGCTTAAAGTTAAGCGACGTTGGTGAAACCAGAATTTGGGCCCGATTTCACCAAACTTTACTCTTATTGTTAGTTTAATTCACGTCTGTTTCTTTCTGGAGTAACAGTTGGAAAGAGACAAAAAAACGATTAGGCTGAGCTTAAAGTTAAGTAAGTCAGAAATTTAGAAAAACCGCTATATGCACTCATCGTTTGGGCCTTATTAGTTGAAATGTGACCGATTCCGCGGCGAGACGACGTTAGCGGACTGTACTTTTTTTTAATTGTTTTCGCGCTCTCGTCTACGCGACGTCTTGATAAGCACGACGAAAATTTATACGCGTCTTTCGCGAATCCGATTATCGAGCTTGCAATTAAACGGGAGTCACTCGAGATGAGGTTGTCCAGATGGTCTAGAATGACGTGTATCAAATAGCAACATGTAGCAAACGCTCGCCGATCCACGTTAGCCTCGATCAGCCACGAAATCTCGGACGTATCGATGGAAATAAATTTTCTTGTGGCAAAAGTCTAAATGCAACAGGTATATTATTAGTTTCAAATTAAAATAGTTCGGATCTATTACCGGTCTCACTGTCGCTCACGGAATTCGATTGAATCCCGCGACTGTAAATCGAGGATTCGATCGTAAATTGAAGCCATTTCTGCGACCTACGTAAAGCCGTAAAGCCGTAAGAAGGCGCGCGCGCGCGCGTTGTCCCCGCGGAGGCTCGACCTCCGTCAATCCTCGCGTTAATTTCTCTCGAGAGAGTCAAGCCAATTATTATCGGTGCGGCGTCTTAATCGGAAGCCGGTCGGGGCCGTCCTCGGACATGCAGCTCGCCCAGGCTCGCCCAGCGGTGAAAGGGGGAGAACGAGCGTTCACCGGGCGAGCGAGCGCGCGGAACGCGGATGATTTTTGCGTCGTGCGACGACACGCCGGGCTAATCAGCCGGTGGATCAGCACCCGCGATACACACACAGTCGCGGCGCGGCGTCTGCTGGCGGACGCGTGGGAGCGAGCGAGAGAAAGAAAGT